GCTGCCCCCGCCCCAGCGCCGTCCCCCAGTCCCGCGGCCCAGGAGGACGGATGCTCGCAGACGAGGGTACAGTTTTCAGAAGGATTTCTTTATTCGGCTGTACAAAGGCTAAAAAAGACTTTTTAGTCACCAGCGCGCTTGTAGCAAATGTGGGTAGAGCCCTTCCCAATCTTCGTTCGCGAAGCCTAGCCATGATGATGATGATGATGTACAAAGGCAAAGGGAGGTGTTAGAGCAGCAGGGGGACAGCCCTAGTACTTGCTGGGCAGCCCCTTGGGGCGGTAGCGGTTCGGGTTCCCGCCGCTCCGCCCCCACCTGTTCGCCTCCTGGTCCGCCCGGGTGTCCTCGGCGCCTCTGCCGCTCACGCTGCTCTGCCATCCCTCCCGGGCGTCACTGCGGGGAAGGAGGAAAGTCACCCGAACCGACCGCATGAGCTCAGCCTCGTGTGGATCTCCTCACTCACATAAAGCAAGCACGCTTTCCCTCAGTGCTTCTCAAGGTGAGATGCAAGCACATACTGATCCTTGTCTGAGAGCCCGCATGGAACCCATAACTGTTACGTCGGGAAACGAACCAGCAAGGAAAGAGAGTTTTTTATGACCAGAAATGCAGAGGAAGGAGTCTGCCTTCTCGGGAGGACAAGAAGAAAGGCCTCACACTCATGTGGGAGGAGAGCCACCATTCCTATAGAGACGGGCTGTCCAGACAAGAACTGCATCCCCTCCCCTCTGCTGTCCTTCTAGGTGAAAAGCTGAGTACGAGTCAAAAAGGACTTCAACTGGAATGCCTGGATCTCTAGTAACTCGCTGTTAACAAGCCAAGCACACTCTCTTACCTGATCACTCTCGCTGCCCAGGCACCACCAGGTCCTCTCCGGGCAGCGTCGTAATTCCCACGAGCATGGAAGTATTTGTCAGCACCTCTATAATTTGCTTCACGCATGTCCCGGTATGCTCTGTACATATCCCATGTTCCTGAAGAAAGTGGAGAAACAGAAATGATGTTGACTTGAAAAAGTCACACCATAAATAGTTCAGTACCATTTCAGCCAGGAGCTGAAAGGCCAAAGGAGCTGAAAGGCCAAAGGAACAGTAACACAGAGAGGCACATCTCTACATCAGTCTTTGCACAGGGCTTTGCCCACAGAAAGCACCTGTGGGGGCTGATCAAGGCCCTCTGCCAGCAGCAGAAACCAGCTGTGGATCTCCCAGCTCCAGGGGCTGCATCCATTGGTAACCCTTGGGGAGCGGGTTCCTAAGAGGAAGGTCTGTGGTAAGAGCAGCTTACCTCCCGCTGCATCCCGGACAAAGTGTCCAGCTCTGCGCAGTCCAAATCTGTCAGCACTTACACACAGAATAACGGAGAGCAACATGAGGCAGACACAGAGCCTCATGGTTACTTGCCCAAGTCTGAGACAGAGCTGTGAGACAGAGAGATGAACAGTTCTGGAGCACCTTTGAGAGACTGCTGGCATAGCATCCACGACACCCACAGCTGTGCCAGGGCAGCTGCCCAGGGCCCCCTTCTACCCCTACGAGGAGTGGTATCCTCTGTGAGACCACAAGCTCAGCTAAGGACTCCACAACAGAGACAGATGCACATGAGGAACTTGCATTCTAGCATTCTCTGCTGCTCTTGTCAGAGAATCCCCACATGCTAAAGCATTAGTCCTGTTCCCAAGTACCAGCTCCAAACATTGCATATAGCTCACAAATTCAGAATGTCACTCACCACTGCAGAAAGGCAAAGCCAAAGGAAGTGGAGATGGTCTCGTGTGCTCTCAGACTCAAAGAGGGTATTTATAAGCAATTCAAATCCTTCAAAAGAGGAAACTGTAAAGGATACACCCATGGCTAGGAATTCCCCACTACTCCCCCACTTTAAAAACAGAAATCGTTATTGGAAACCTGCCCTTGTCCTTACTGAAAGTTCATGGCTCCTCTTACACAATTTTTTAGACAGTATGTGGTGCTTCTTCAGCTGTCCATGGGACTATTTGCTCCTAATAACAAGCAGAATGAGAAACTGCCTTGAAGACTGAAGTGTTCTGTGTGCTTGAAATGTTACACTTGACTTAAAGGTGACACTTTTTGGCCCTTGTGCTGGACAGAGCTTGGAAGGGAAGGTGCCTGGTTGTCTGCATGAAGCACAAGGTCAGGTCTGTGTCTGTGCACAAGAAACAGTCAGCTGCGTTTCCAGAAGGGCTGCAGGAACTGCTAAGTGAAATTCTCATGCATGCTGGGATGACCACATGAATCCCAGAGGTGATGGAATGGAAAATGAGAAGTGTTGCTCTTAACTCCATTGCCAAGCAAACCACATACACCTGCGTCCCTGCTGATAATGCTCTAAGATAGCACAGACACACACACCATAAAGAGGCTCTGAATGGTTCATCCTGCCTTGGCTTGCTTTTGCAGATCCTTCCCAAGGGACTTCCAGCCATCCTGCTGCAACGACAGCTCATTGGGGCTTAGGTGGGCTTAAACTAAGCAGATTTTTTGATGCAGCAGTAAACATTTTACCTAAGGGGAAGTTCAGATCCATACAGCAACAACTCTGCTAGATTTTAAAATTCATATATTAACTGTCAGGCCCTAGTGACATGGTTCAGAGTTTGAGTACCCACTGTGCTCTCCCTGCTCAGGAGCCTGCTTGCTTCCCTTGGTTAAATAGCAGAAAGCTCCAGGTTTGACTGCAGTTGCACTGTAGAGAGAGGGTGCAGAAAGTCTCCCTTTTGTGTGGTCTCACACATGATTTAACAGGTCTAAGAGAGCATTTTACCTTCTCCTCAGAAGAGTTACAGGTAGTTGCCCCTTTCACAACTTTGTCACTTTAAACAATTTGCTGCTGGACCTGCAGAGCAGAAGCATGAGGTGAAAGAGGTGCAATAAAGCTAATAAAGTACCGTCAGGCAGCTTTCCTTGGGTATCGCTGGACTTCAGCCAAGAGTTCAGCTTAAGAGGATACATTTTGCACAGACCGGCCTGGAGCGGTAGAACAGATTATAGTACTCTATCTCTGAATGGAACAATGGGCAATGAGAATCTAAAGTTCAACCCAATGGACAAGTGAACCTTGCAAAAAGCAGGGAGCAGACACATAATTTTTGTCCCCTGCCATCCATGAGCCCAGTGCTTCCCTCTGTAACAACAGCTCAGTTACTGCAGGAACTATGTTTTGCTGCAACCTCTGTTCACATCCTAGTCTCAACTTATGTTGCAACCTATGTTCTTACAGTACAGAGTTGCTCAAATTTCTTCTCTACTGGCTGCAAGTGGCCCTGTCACCTTTTCAGTTAAAAAAAAAAAAACAACGGGAAAATTACTCGGGTAAGGTGGGGTACAGGCATGTACCATTTTGCTCTGGGACCTAGAACAGAGCATTGCCTTCAAAACTGACTGACGGTATTTTTTCCTACAAGAGCTCAGGTATTTTGGACTATAGAGGATATTTCTGAATCTTATGCCATGTTTCACATTTGCCCCAAACAAACATTTTCTGCAAAGAGCAAAACATAAGAATAATTCCCAGATGGTAGGTGCTGGAGGGGATCTTTAGAAGATCTGGCAGTGTATCCCCTGGACTCCTCTCCAACAAGGACAGCAGTAGTGACAACAATGTGTGAGCTCCCTATGGTAACCAAGATAAAGCTCTAGCTTTGTGCTCCAGCAGGGAATAGCCTGAGCTCTGCTTTCCCGTATCCTCTTGGACTGCACTCCAGGTCACAACCCCTAGCTCACAGAAACAAGCTGCAGCCAAAACTGCTGCTTGCGCAACAGAAACGGACAAAGCTGCCTCTGAGCATGGAGAAGGGGCTGAACAAAGTATTTCTTTCTGGCCCAGCAAGAAAACTCTGGCTGCGTGTGCACAGTGGGGAAACAACATACTGAAGGGTGCCCGGAGACTGTTTCCTGAGTTTGTACATTCTGATGTAATTAAGATAAAAAGCAACCCCATACTGGTTGCCCTTTAATTCTAAATATCTATAAATGCAAGCTACATTCTACAAACATTCCACAATTTTGCAATCTGAGAAAGTCAGATTGAGAAATCAGATAAGGTGAATTCCCAGCTGAGGCACAATCATAGATGCAGTTATTCTGGGAAGGAACAGTACATTATTTTAGTTTACATGTGCAATGATGCACCTCAGGAGTTTTGCCATGCTCCTGTATAGAATATTTACTAGCATTGACCTCAGGTTTATAGACATGTAGAACAACTGCAAACTTGGCTTTTTTCAAGAAACAGATAGAAAATGCAGATATTTATCTGAAATAAAATTTATTTCTCCAGAGGTTTTGATGATGATTCTAATAGTGAAATAATGTTTGAGGAGGGTACGATGCTTTTTTCTTTCAAAAAAAGAAAACAAACACCACCACCACAGTTTCTATTTAAAGCTGCTCCAGGCAAAGCCCCCTTTATTCACCTCTGCTTTTTAAGGCCTTCTTCCACCATCAGTGACCCACAAAAGCCAAGGATGAGCTGCAGCTCATCTACTCCAGTGCAGACTGGCTCAAGCCATCAGTGGTGTGTGCTCAGCTGTCTGACAGGAGCTGGTTTAGGGGCCACAGCTTCAGCATGAGAGCCTTACTCTGTGCAGCTGCAACTTCTGAACAGAAGACCATTTTATTTCAGTCCCTTCACCTTACCCCTCTGAGATGAAAACAAACTCATCCAGAATAGGAAACAGTGATTTTCCAACTCTTCTTTGGAGAGTAAACTCTTACTCTTTATTGACAGCTGAGTTAGTTGAAATCATCAACACAAGCTCACTTTACACATGAAATCTGAACAAACACTTCCCCTTATGTTACCTATATGACCACTCTGACACAAAAAAAGGCTCTGACCAGAAAGTATTCATTTATTGTAAAAAAACCAGAAAAGCCCAACCCATACTCAAAGTTAACCAAGTGTATAAAACCTCCACAGAAGTAAGCAAGAGACTGATGTGTACACAAAATACAAGGAGCAAATGGAACCATTACATAGATAAGCCAGGTACATTCTCAGAAAGCCAGAAATTCCTCCAAGGAAGGCAAGAGGAGCACTCAGCTACAGCTGTATGAACTGTTGTTAAGTAAACAGGACAGGCACTGAGACAGCAGCACCTCACCTGGCAGGGAGGAGAACAGTCACCAACAGCATCTGGCAGGTGCTTCCATTCCAAGTCTTACTGTAAGAGCATGGGGTGTTTCTGATGGCACAGATCCTTCTATTTCCAGTGTCAGAGTCTAAACTCCAAAAGATTTAAAGGTTTCTTTCTGAGAAATAGTTCTGAATTGGCTTTTCCACAAGCAACACTATTAATGGATGAAAACCTGACACTAATTGGCTCCCTGTAACTTTGTCTAGTGAAGTAACCTACCCTCCACACTGAAGTCTTTATTGACATCAAGATGAAATAATCAGACTGCATCTCTCAAAAAGCTGAAAGCTGTATTACTAACTCCTATTTTGATGAAAAGCATTATAAAGATGTTTTATAAAGAAATACTTTCATAACAATATTATCAATTTTAATAAAATTTAGTTCCAATGAATGTATTAACATTTTCCTTAAATGACATTTGTGAAAATCAAATACTGACCAGATGCCGTTTGCCCTCTGCTAAAAATTTGAGTCTGGCAGTGATGAGAGTCAAAACTAGAAGCCTAAAAAGAAACTTATTCAAAGATGCATTAAATGCAGAGTGCTGGTACAAGGCATAGTCCTGTAAATGAGATATAAAATCCAAGTAATTTTATTAATCTTCATATTCTACCAGGTATGTAAAAAGACTTCCTTCTTGACAGCATCCATCTAAAAATACTCATCTAAACCTTCAGCTTTTAAAAATATTAAAAGAAGACACGCGGTCCTCTCATTTTCCAAAATGTCAGAATTAATTGTTGAATTACCAAAGTTGACCTGGACTTCAGTAAAACCTTTTGACACAGTTTCCCACAGTGTTCTCCTGGAAAAATTGGCTGCTCATGGTTTGGACAGGTGCACTGTTCACTGGACAAAAAATTGGCTGGATGGTTGGGCCCAGAGAGTGGCAGGAAATGGAGTTAAATCCAGCTGGTGGCCAGTCCCAAGTGGTGTTCCCCAGGGCTCAGTACTGGAGTCAGTCCTATTTAATGTCTTTATCAATGACCTGGACAAGGGGATCAAGGGTACCCTCAGTCAGTTTGCAGATGACAACAAGTTGGGTGGGAGTGTTGATCAGCTGGAGGGCAGGAAGGCTCTGCAGAGGGATCTGGACAGGCTGGATCGATGGGTTGAGGCCAACTGGATGAGGTTCAACAAGGCCAAGTGCTGGGTCCTGCCCTTGGGTCACAACAACCCCACATGGCACTACAGGCTGCATACAGAGCAGCCAGAAAGCTGCCTGGCAGCAACGGACCTGGGGATGCCAGTTGACACCCAGCTGAACATGAGCCAGCAGTGTGCCCAGGCCAATGGCATCAATGCCTTAAAATACATATTATATGGATTTTAGTATAGCTTTTTAGCACTTTTGGTATGGTTTGCTAGTGCCTTTGGCCTGTTAGTACCTTTGTACAAGACTTCTAAAAATGTTGTTTAATATTTCTTGCCAAGAATTCCAATGGACAAAGATTGTAGCAAGGGAAAGAACATTTTATCTGTAGAAAATGTACTCAGAAAACAGATGTAACAAGCACATTGCTTGATATAAATGAGTCAAAGCTGTTCAGAAGCCTTGAAACTATTCCAGATGGCATGCTACTGTGCCAAAGACCAAGGAACAAGATGAGGAAGAGAAAGACAAGATGAAGATAAAGGGTCATCATCAGGAACGGTGTCTAAGGTAGAACGAGGGAGATCTGATGGGATGGACGGTTTTGGGAAGCGGGAGAAACAGATGTTGTAATGTCAGATATAATAGTATAAAACTATAGCACCTCTCTAACTCGGTGTGTGTACTGTGGAAACGATTCCTACACACCCAGGATGCTGTAAATAAAGACTGGTTTTGCTTTCTAATACTCAAAAAGGAGTGGCAGAGGGTTCTTTCCAGCCATTTAAGGCATCAGCATCCTGGATTGTATCAGGAACAGCGTGGCCAGCAGGACTAGGGCACTGATTGTCCCCCTGTACTCGGCCCTGGTGAGGCCACACCTCGAGTGCTGTGTCCAGTTCTGGGCCCCTCACTACAAGAAAAACACTGAGGTGCTGGAGCAAGGCCAGAGAAGGGCAACAGAGCTGATGAAGGATTTGGAGCACAAGTCCTATAAGGAGTAGCTGAGGGAGGTGGAGTTGTTTGGCCTGGAGAAAAGGAGGCTCAGAGAAGACCTCATCACTCTCTATGACTACCTGAAACGAGGCTGTAGCCAGGTGGGGGTAAGTTCCTTTTTCCCTAGTAAAAAGTGATAGGACAAGAGGAAATGGCCTCAAATTGCACCAGAAGACATTTCGTTTGGATATCAGGAAACATTTCTGCACCAAAAGGGTTGTCAGGTACTGGAACAGACTGCCAGGTTCAATCACCATCCCTGTGGAGGCATTTAAAGGTTGTGTAGATGTGGCACTTACGGACATGGTTTAGTGGTGAACTTGGCAGTGTTAGGCTAACAGTTGGATCTTTAGGGTCTTTTCCAACTTAAATGACTCTGATTCTAATTCCACTGGCCTGAGGTTTGTTGGAATATCACAACTGATGTCTATAGTCATACTGCACAAACAGATATGGGGAATATAGAAATATTGTGCTTGTAGTTTAACAGTGAGCTCATTTAACAAGTTTTTCTGTTCATCAGCACTTTTAACCATTAATTGACTACGAAAAGTATTTCCCTCCCATTTTAAGACT